ATTGATTCTGGGACATTACACTCAACCTAGTATAGCTTTCAAATAGTGCACGTAATCTGAGCCAATCCCGATTCTAATTTATTTTATTATGCAGTTCACATTTGACAAAGTAAGAAGACATTTTTTGGGACGTGTAGTAAAATAAGCACTGTAGAACAAGGTTATTGTAGCAGTGCGTTTGAGTTGAAGGCGGGCTTGTCCGAATGGTATGCATTGTTTGTGGTCAGGCGAGTGAATTGTGTGTAGGATTTGGCTATGTTTGGACGGCAAGGACGTGCTGCATTGGTTACACTCGCGCCTCACAGTAGCAGAAGCTCCCGAGTTCGATTCCTGACTCTGACACCACCTCTCGGCGTGGGTTTTGAACGCTCTCCCCCTGTGTCTGCATGGGTTCCCTCCGGGTTCTCTGGTTTCTTCCCATAGCTGATAATACAAACCCTGATATCACGGAACTGCCATTGGTCAAACATCCCAATGCTGAACATTTACCTGCAAATTACACGTTTGGGATTACACACAGCAGTAGTAGCATTAACCATGACTGAAAAATAACGGCAGGACTCTCCTGAAATTGTGTCTTAAGACGCCGTGAGACTTTTCTGGGTAAAAGCACCAGCGGAGTAACTACAATAATAACAAGTAGTTGTTTGCCGTGTACAGTTTTGAATCCTACATCGAGCGCTGCCTGGCGGGTTGAACACGTTTTCTGTACATGTGCTCCTGGTTGTTGGTGGAGGAGCAACTGGGATACATTTTGTTATCGTGCCTTTTACTCATCCAGAAAGGCCACGCCGAGTCTCGGGAGCATTTTTCACGAGGGCCTTGCCTTGATATGTTTGACAAATTCCATTTGGTGCTTGAATGAGATTCATGTCCACTACTGATTTGAAGCGCGTGTGGGCACATTGTTCTGGGTTGTGACGTGTGGGGGTCGCCGTTCTTGTCAGTCATTCTTGAGGGAGGCGATGCCGCTGTCAAGTGCATTGGGGTTTTGTGTAACATCTACAAATTCCTTCATTTTTCCAGTATGTGCTCCTCCTTACCGCACATTTAAAGTGCCTTTGTCCACTCTCACTAAGAAAGTCAAAGTGAGTTCCTGCTTAAATGAGCGTTGAGGCGGTGCCCATCTCTTGTTTACATCCCTGAGCCAGTGGTGGAAACTCCATGTTCTTATGACGGGGTTGAGTTAATCCATAGGACAACTGTTTTCTTCCCTACAAAGTGGTACTGAATTTATTGACTCCGAACGGATGATGGGCCGAGTCAACCCTCAACCAGAATCTTTACATCGAAACCTTCCGATTGCGAGCCGCTCACTCTACCTTGCGGCCAGATAACAGCTGACTGATGAGCAGTTTATCTTCACCATGGCCATGAAGGTAGTGTACAGCACCTGGATATAAGCACACCTCTTGGAAGCAAAGCCATGTGTGCTTGTATCCAAATGGTGATTGTGTCAGTAGTTGCCCTTTGTCTTCCCCCCCCTCCCCACCAATGTAATGGAAGCACGTGTTGCTTATATCAGAACTGTGCTCAGATCCTGCTTCTGTCGTGCTATTTCACGGATGGGCATTTTAAAAGTAAGAGCCTGCAGGAGGGTGGCGCTCTACCAGTGTCCGTCGGTAACGCTCACTCGCCGTCCACGGTGTCCACTGTCTGGGCGTGTGCTGTGCACAGTATTCTATTGCATCTAAACTGTTGTGCAGCCCTATCAACACTGACAATTTTGTCTATAATGGGAATCAAGATAGCTGTGAATTGGTGTGTGGCAGTAGCCAGTGGCTGTAGTTAGTGGTTGCTTGCACCAATCATTCTTTCCGCTAGGGCCGGGTCCAGTTCCTCTTGGATGGGGTGGGGGGGGGCAGTCGAGCTGCTTGGGGGGCCACTGTAGCAGTGATTCACGGTTACAGAGGAGAGAGAATTAGGGAGGGGTGGGCAAAAGGTGGTGCAGGGCCCGTGGCAGCAGCCCCCCTAGCTCCGGCCCCATTTCTCAACCTGCAGTGCCCCACCGCTCGGTGGTCTGCTCTGTGCTGCCCAACGCGCATTGTCACGGTGTGGGGAATCCCACAATGCACCACTGCACAAAGCTCTGCAGTCCTGGTGGCGTTTTGCCAAACAGTAATTTTGGGAAAGGGGCCGTCCATAAATGACGTCATGCACCTAGTGGGGGGAGGGGGGGTCAGACATTTGTGACGATGTGTGACGAGGGGGGGAGGGGGGGTTTGAGAAATGTGACGTCACATCAAAATGCGCAACTTTAAATAAATATAAATTTAATATAATTGGTATAACCACACTTATTTTGATTATTTTTCATTATTAACTATTTGATTATTTAAATTTACTCGGTCACCTTTTATTTATTCCATGAAGGAGTATTTTGCTTCTCCATGGGAGAATGGAGAAGCATACATTTTGTTAATTTTTTGAATGATTGTTATTAAACATTTCGATTCTAATGATTCTATCAGGGCTTTTCATTCTGTGGAATGAATGTGATTGTTATAATTGTACTCTCCATTTTGCTTCGTTCTACTACAAAGTTTAAAGTATTTTTTTAATAGTTATAACTAGCTGTACTACCCGGCTTCGCCCGGGACTTGGATCCACCACGCCCGGCCGCCTTTGTCTCCCCAGTGGCGATGTTCACACACCACAGCAGTTACTCGTTTGAGGCTGAGTCGACCTAGGGGTGGCCCAGAAGCGGTTGAAATAATCGTCACCGGTGGTGGCCGTGAGCAGGAATCGAACTCGGGTCGCCGGGTTCGTAGCGCGGCGCGCTAACCGCTACACTACAATGTGTTACGCTTCCACATGCGCGGGTCACGTGACAGATTTGACGTCACAGCTCACTTGCCGTGTAAAAAATAAATGCATTATTGAGCTACCCCCCACCCCAAAAAAAAAGTGTATTTTTATAATTTTTGTATGGTGTACAGTCTGGAAAGTACCCACATGGCATATTTCCAGTTTGTGCATGTCAGGAAGTACGCTAAACATTTTGAACAGACACATTCACAACTTTGCCTTTTATATATATGGAGATTACTTTAAATATTTTATAATTATAAGAGACTTTCAATATAATATTCTGAACATCTGCAGTTTTAGTTGAATATTTTCAAGTGAATTTTATGCTAAATTTCAGCTTTCCAATGCTTTCCAATAATACATGTTTTCTCCTACAACATCAGAGTGCAGCGCCACATTAAATACGCACTTCAATGACAGTAGTTTAAAGTGATTTGAAGCATGTTTTATTTTCAAAATGGAAATATGGTTTGGGGGGGGGGGGCAGAGCTTTGTGACGTCATATTTGAGGGGGGTCTGACTTTTTGTGACGCCGTGTGACGAGGGGGGGGGTCAAAAATCGGCCAAAATCGCGTGACGTCATTTATGGACGGCCCCAAACTCGTTCCACACAGATAACAATTTCAAACTCCGCGTGCAAATGATCACTCGTGCTTTCTCTCGTAAGGATGTCATCCATGTGCTTTGCAGGAGGACCATTGCCCGAAATGTCACCTATTATATGTCTCTCCTTTTAAGGTCACGGTGTTATTGTCGAGTGCTACGTCGTGTTACTGGCGGGCACTTGTCTGACACCTAGTGGCAACAAGACACACAAGTAGAGAGTTCCTGTACCGTGTAACCTGATTACTTTGCCAACATTTCAACCGTGAAATTCAAACTGCTCTATAACCATAATTATTTAATAGGAGATGCGACCTTTATGGACACCCCACATTAACTTGTTTTTTTTTATCAACGGTAATTATTACATGGGTGCACGAAACAGCGCCTTTTGCTATTTGACTCAACACCTGAGTTGGTATCTGGCAGGAGTCTGGACCGAAGTCATTTTAATGCCGTTTGTCTTCATACGAGAGGTCGCAGTTGTTGACATGTGGGAAGAGAATCCGAGCACGGTGGGACATGGGCGTAGATTATACACTGTAGGTTAGAGATGTGGATAACAGGCGCACGTGTTGAATCAGAATCTTTAATTAGACTGCAGCAGGAGGAGATGTCCAGGAGGGCGCGGGTCAGCACGTTACATTGAGATGAGAGAATGGAGATGTAGGCGAGAGAGTTGCAAAGAGAAATATGAATGCAGTGAGATGAGAGAAACGCAGATGTAGACAAAGAGAGACGTATCTGCAGTGAGATGTGTAGAGGTACACGTTGGGGTAGATGAAGAGATGCACGCGACGCGAGATAGAATGTCCACGACCGGCGGGGAGATAGGGGTGACGCTGAATGTGCTTGCCACGAGGTGTCTGGGTGAGGTGAGTGTTACTGAGACGAGGATGTGGAGAGTCGCACAATGGGTAATGGATACACGGGAAAGTGCTGAGAGCAGAGGTGCGACGCACCCCGTGGAGAGTTGGCCACGCGTGGCGACACCCACAGCAACGCCCATCCCCGCGGGTCGTGGGGGAGGGGGGTCGTTGGGGGGGGGGGGGGCACGTGACAACCTCAGCCGGCAAGAGGCTTAGTTAAGTGCCAATTTAATTAATTCACCCACTGACTTGTGAAGCAATTAAAATAATAGACCTAATTTGTCGACAAAGTATCCATTTTTGTCGTGTTTTTGTGTTTGCCTTCTAGCTGGAGGAACATTTAAAAACAAAACTGGCCACTAATCACAAATCCAGCTTTTCCGTGTGAGTGGTAATTGGGTTAATAATTAATGTGAACAGTCTGTTGGGGCTTGTGGTCTCGCGAGGGCTGTACCTCCAGACTTGACTTCTACTGCAACTCACTCCTCAGTGGCCTCCTCACAAATCCCTCGCCTGAAGATAGCCACTTGCTTGAATCTCGCGATTTCTCGTAGAAAAGTTCCCGCATCCCGTTAACGATTCGCATGTCGCGCATTGCAGGGTATGCGGCCAAGCCATACCTGGACGTACCTGGACGTACCTGGGTGAAATTCAGCCCGTTTGGGTTGCACCTTCCGTCAATGACGCTTGTCCGTGTTTGTCGTCTTTCGTTGGCAGACGATGGTGAGCGTGTTCCTGAGTGCAAGTGACCAGCAGGCGAGCGAGGTGCCCATCACGGGTGACATGACCTGCAAGGACGTGGTGGAAGCATGCCGTCCCCTAGGGGACACCGCGTGCCATCTTGTGGAAGCGTGGCACGGCCACGGTGCGCTTTTCGCCACGCCACACTCGCCGACACTCCCGCGTGCTGTGTCTGCGTGCCTGTACGTGCGTCCGTATTGTATGCTGCCAACGTGCGTGTGTACGTTGTCCGTTTGGTGCCGGTGTAAGTATACAACTCTCATGTCAATGCACGGGCTCGTGTTCGTGGGTCCACCTGCATCCAAATGTATGTTTAAAATTGTTTTGGGTGGCAGGGTGGCGCACGGGTAACGCCTCGTGCCTTGCGGCAAAAAGGGATCGGTCTGTGAGATTCTGCGCATGTGCGGCTAACCTATTTCGACCCAAAATTTGCTCTGTGTGGTTTTGAATTCACTGATATGCGGCTCCGCGATCGGACGTGGCACAACATCGATGTGTGCGTACTGTGCGCGCTACTCGGCAGGCAGCTGTCCCGTGCGGTTCCGCTTTGTGGGCCCCTTTTTCTGAGTAGCGCCTCGCCTGCGACCGTGCAGAGCAAAGGAACGCCGTATCGCTGACCGCTCATCGATGCCTTTTGTCGCCGCGCGCCACAGAGAGCGTGGTCCCCGACAACGAGCGCATGCTGGAGGTGCTGCAGCGCTGGGGGAGCAAGCAGCACGAGGTCCGCTTCTTCCTGCAGCGCGCCGCCGACACCACCACCACCGGCCCAGGTCTGTGCTCACATGGCCAGGTGTCGAATTGTCGTCATCAGCCTTGATCGGTCCATCGCGAACTCCCGCGATCCTGCAACACGATGGGTTTTCTCCGCCTACTCTGGTTTCCTTCCCACATGTATAAACGCTCATTAATGGAGTTTGCCAAACATCCCATTATAGGACAACTAGCTCGTGAAAGTGTTAGTGCCGATTCCGGCTGTTTTCTTGCTTGTCTGCGGTCTCCTGTGTCTACGTACAAAAACGGTGCTGTTACAAATTCTACAGCGTTGTGAAGTGCACATTACTTGAACGTGTCTCAGTGTAATTCCAAGCACATATCTCTTCTCATTTGCGCAATTTCAGTTTTTGTTCCATTTTCTTTGTTATTGTCCATGTTTCTGATCCGTATATCATAGCAGGTTGTAGGTGTTGATGCTTTTTCATAACAAAAAATGTTTCTTGAGGCCACTTTGGAAAGCTTTCCAGGATCCATGCATGGTTTTTTATTCCTTGTTGTGTTGCAGGTGGCTCACGATCCCAAAATGGTACGGCAAGGCGCAATGGCATGAGCAATGTCGCAAACGATCGGCGGCAAGAGAATGGGGTAAGCGCGTATTATTCTTTGCCACTTTTTAATTGACCGCGACTTTGTAAGTAGTGCTTATTGGCATTAGCGTCGGCTTTTGTGTGCATACGAACAGCTCGCGCTTGCAGCTGCACACTCATGCCCTTGCTTTTAAATGTCTTAATCTCCAAAAATGGAACTGAAATTAGCTTTTAAGAATAGTAAAATTAATTTGATATTTTTTGGCCGCCTCATAACTCTTCCTTCTGCATTGCTGCATTCCACGCCGAACCTTCTCACTGCATTATAACTATTGCTACAACTAATCTTGATTTGTTTCTTGGGAAATGAATGATAAATTACATTGGTATATATATTTTTTTACAAATGCTTCATGATAAAATGAAAAAAAGATATCACTTGTTCGATGTAAAATATCAGCAAACCCCTGTGATTTAAGTCACGTGCCTACTACAGGAAACCCATAATTTGTGCAAAACATTTAAATCCAATGCCTCTCTTATGTAGAGTCATGGTTCTGTTCTTCATTTACCACCTTTACCACCGCAAATTTCATTTTAAATTAAATCACCAATTTTAAAAGCGGAAGGCAGTGATTTAACAGCTGACCTGCAGAAACTTTCAGAGTTTCTCTAGTAAAGTTTAGGTTTTGCTTGACCTCATGGGAACTCGGTGAGTGGGAGGTCACTTATTCTCCACACGCTGGAACTGCCATGCCCCAAGGTCCGTGCTGTCGACTCCCTGCACCCTAATCAAGTCTAGACTCAAGGCCTTCCTCTTTTCCTCCATTGTGTACACACGTGTGTTTTGGCATTCCCGATTCAGGCACGTAATTTGTTATGTTGTTTGTGTAAAATAATGAAGGCTTGTGACAAATGCGTTACTCATGTTAGCCTGTGTTCAGCACTTGGCGTTGGGTCAGGACTGTTTGTTTCCTATTGGGCCAGTATTAAACAAAGCCTGCATTTAAAGCCCCCGGGAATACTTTCTGCCAGCATTTTCCATGTTAAAGGACCACTGGGTTAAATGTTTCAACTTGACGTAGCCAGAGTAATGGCGTGCTGTGATGTTGCGGAGCCTCAATGGCAGGCCCTGTTCTAAGCGGGTCAGACGCCACGGTTGTGAATGATTCTTTTGTGTGCGCTGCATCTTAATTACGTAACCGTTTCCTAAAATATTTCCGGCCGTTATTTATTCGTCACGTCTCTGACAATGCAATGCGCAGCACTTTAATCTCTTGAAAGTCACGTCAGATCGCTAACGCCACGCACACTGTGCAGCACGTGCCCCCGGGAGGGTGGTACTTTTAAAGTGGCCGCGATATCCTTCGCGCATTATTTCTGCATGTGTGCACAATAACATAACACAGTAGACGTGTTCAGGGGAGAAGTAGTTTGCAGTACAATGAAATAACTCAAGAAGTAACCGTGAAGAAGTCAAAACTTCTAGACACCTAACAATTAATCTATTCTAATGCTCACCATACGTGCATCGGATCGATTATTTACAATGTATGCGATCACACTTTTGTTCATCACGAATTGGGATGCAACATTGCACTCTCCTAAACCTTACTTTACATGAAAATTACATGCTAATGTTACATTTACGTTATATTGAGTGGACACAATTACACAAAGAAGACAGGAAACATTGAGGAACAATGCAAAATAGGTGCTAAAAACGAGACCAAAAGGAATGGATAAGCTTGGGAGTGGAGTGGTTCCCTGCCGAGTGAAACAGCGGTGGGAAGGTAGCGCCTGGGAAGTGGCACTTGGGAAGGTAGCGCCTGGGAAGGTAGCGCCTGGGAAGGTAGTGCTTGGGAAGGTAGTGCCTGGGAAGGTGGCGCCTGGGAAGGTAGCGCCTGGGAAGGTAGCGCCTGGGAAGTGGCACTTGGGAAGGTGGCGCCTGGGAAGGTAGCGCCTGGGAAGTGGCACTTGGGAAGGTAGCGCCTGGGAAGGTAGCGCCTGGGAAGTGGCACTTGGGAAGGTAGCGCCTGGGAAGGTAGCGCCTGGGAAGGGGGCGCCTGGGAAGTGGCACTTGGGAAGGTAGCGCCTGGGAAGGTGGCGCCTGAGAAGGTAGTGCCTGGGAAGGTAGTGCCTGGGAAGGTGGCGCCTGGGAAGGTAGTGCCTGGGAAGGTAGTGCCTGGGAAGGTAGTGCCTGGGAAGGTAGCGCCTGGGAAGGTAGCGCCTGGGAAGGTGGCGCCTGAGAAGGTAGTGCCTGGGAAGGTAGTGCCTGGGAAGGTGGCGCCTGGGAAGGTAGTGCCTGGGAAGGTAGCGCCTGGGAAGGTAGCGCCTGGGAAGGTGGCGCCTGGGAAGGTAGCGCCTGGGAAGGTAGCGCCTGGGAAGGTAGTGCCTGGGAAGGTAGCGCCTGGGAAGGTAGCGCCTGGGAAGGTGGCGCCTGAGAAGGTGGCGCCTGAGAAGGTGGCGCCTGGGAAGGTGGCGCCTGGGAAGGTAGCGCCTGGGAAGGTAGCGCCTGGGAAGTGGCACCTGAGAAGGTAGCGCCTGGGAAGGTAGCGCCTGGGAGGTGGCACCTGAGAAGGTAGTGCCTGGGAAGGTAGCGCCTGGGAAGGTAGCGCCTGGGAAGGTGGCGCCTGGGAAGGTAGCGCCTTGGAAGGTAGCGCCTGAGAAGGTAGCGCCTGGGAAGTGGCACCTGAGAAGGTAGCGCCTGGGAAGGTAGCGCCTGAGAAGGTAGCGCCTGGGAAGGTAGCGCCTGGGAGGTGGCACTTGGGAAGGGGGCGGCGGAGGGCGGCGCGACCTCGGAGACGTTGAGAGGTGGCGCTGAAGAAACGGCACGGAGTAGGGGGTAGGCGTTGACAAAGGAATAGAGGAGCGTGTGGTGTTTCTACAGGGATAGGTTTAGTGAGCATTCTGCTAAAGAACAAATATACAGTACAACCTCTTTTTCACTGCACAGAGTAGAGCTCCCGTCTGGTTGGCTTGTTTGGTGAGGGGTGGGGGTTGGGCCCTGTCCCGGCCCGTGACCGTGAGGCCTTCACGTCCGTTGCCAGCGTGGCCTTTCCACGTCCTGTTTCGCTTTTCGCTTTCGCTGTTCACAGCGCTGCGACAGAGCGACGCCCCGACTTGCAACCAGGAATTTGCGAGTTCACATCCCGGTCAGGGGTCGACCGGGCCCACGGTCGCCCAGGGACTATCTCTCTGCGGTGGTCGGGATGCCGTGCTGCGCCACTCTTTGTGCTGTATCAAATCCGTTGGGCTCATCACTGAGGCGTCTGTGGCATCATTTTGGATTTTGTTTCCCTTTGGTCCTGAGAAGTTTAGTGGAATTGTACGTGTGTGTTTCCAGGGCGTATTTTCGAACTTGTTCGTTCAATTATCCTGTGGCTCAATTCAGAGGCAAATCGTTCGCAATTTAGTGCCTGACAAAGTAAAATTAAATGTTTAGTCAGTGCCACATACCATTTGGTGTGTGTTTAGCGATGGATTATTTTTTTCAACTGATTGGCAAGCGAATTGGCCAGGTTCGAACTGCCTCACAATGGAAGGTTTTGAGTTAATATCCCTGGTGGTGGTCGACTCAGCCCATCATCCCTCTGGGGTCAATAAAACGAGTACCACATTATGGGAGAGTTGCTAGTGGCTGTCCTATTGAAAGACTCACCTCCGCCATAGGAATGAGGAATTTATTCCACTGGCTCAGGGCTGTAAACGGGAGATGAACGCCGATGAGCAGCAAATCCCCGCGACTTGCGTTTATATTATCACGTTGGCGTTTAACACTCAGACTCGTTGATGTAGACCTCCGGCGTTATGAACCATTGTTTGGAATTCCTGACATCCTGCAGCTCGCCACGCGTTGTTTGCAGCCAGGGCGGCGGTATCGTAAATCCCCATCACTTCCATTTTTAACTTGCTCTGGCTTTTACGTCTTGCTCGCTGACATTCAGCAACTTCAAATCCCCTTTCATTCAGCCCAAAGCCCACGGCTATTGTCCACACACAGGCTCATAGAAAAAGGGCTTTGTTGTTTATTAATAGTTGGACGCATGTTTAGCCCGTGACAGGGTTTTTGGCTGCATTAGTGAAGGGCATTGGATTTTTCTTTTAGCGCATTGTTGTGTCCCGATACATTTATCTGTCGTGCAGTGGTGGAAGCAATTACATTAACAGGATGCCACGAGTTTGGCCTTTTGTAGTCGACCTCTCTGCTCACAATATAAAAAATAATAATTTTACAATTTCTAAAGTGGGGCTATTCCCACAGGAATTTATTCGATTCCTACGATTCCACCGTCAATGATCCCTGCATGAATCACGATTCTTCTATGGTGATTCCCATGTTAAAATCTCCATACACGTGTATGAGCGAGCATCTGTGTGTGCATACACATACACATGTGGATGAGTGGTAGTTCTGGTGGTCCCCGTAGCCCGAGTAGAAACCCTCGCCGTATTGACAGTTTATGGACGCGGGAAATATTGGGAGTAGCCGCAGACTAAAACCACTTGTAACGCGCGCAACTCATTTGCGAACAACACTTCTCGCTGTGCTTCTCCCTCGCACTGCTCGACTTTGGAATTCCCCTCCCATCGTATTTTTTTCCCACTGGCTCTTATAATAACCTTGCTCAATTCAAGAAAGTGTCACACCATTATCTATGACAGCTTTGAAAGTGGCCAGCTGTTCCGTTGCTGGCCGCTTGATATTTTGTGGCTCTGCTTTGCGACGCAGTTATCACCAAATCACGTGCCCATTGTAGGAACCATTTAATGCCGCGGGACCCCCAACAGGGGGCAGTAGAGAGAGACGCGGGTCGAGCGAAAATGTCACGGTTACGACTCTTGAGTGCTTGGCCTGAGAGAGTTGATTTCCTCTTGCAGCCATCACTTTGCTGCATGCGGTAATGATCCCCAGCTGTATTGTGCACGCGTTCACGTGATGAGGTAGCTGGCTCACACGGCGAGCCAGGCTGCAGTTCCGATTAGCACGGTTGGCCACGTGCGGCGCGAAATAATTTAAACGTTCATAAATTGCATGGACGTTTTGCCTCGTGTGTGCAGTGTTGATTGACTGCTTCTCTTGCAGCCTTCCACAATATGAACGTCTCATGACAGCAACGCCCCTGTTGTCAGACTTGGATGCGGGGGGGTGCGATGAACACACCTGCTTCGCCGCGTTTAGGCGTGCATTTTTGCTCTCTCTATCCGACCAAAAAAGTGTGCATGGCCACGGATAATGAAACAGCTTTCCCGCCACAACCCCTGGGTCACTCCTGTTATCCGTGTTGAGGTGCGGCTTGCTCGGAAGAACGGCGTGCTTCTGGGAGACTACTTCCCGGTGACTCGCTTAGCAAAGGCTTCCATAATACGATAACCGGATACATTTTCTGGAATTTCCGGGTCGCTTTCTCTCTTCCGTGCAACGGCTCGGACGGTTGTAAGAAGTTGCCGTTACTTCTGGGTCACTCCGGTGGGATGAGTGCGGCACTTCTGGGAGACCACGTTTGGGTGACGAATCCGTCCGTACAGATGCTCGGATAAGAGGAGCGATGCAGCGCACAGATAATGGGAAGGTGTGCACAGTTTGAGGTGTGTAGATAATAGGAAGCTTGTAACAGGGATTTTCTGTGGTTGATCGCTGATGTGATTTACAGTGGAAGTTGTGCATGTGTACATGGTGACGTTTCCACCGAGTGAAAATCGAAACTGAATTTTTCGCGTTATTTCTCGTTCCTCAATCAATTTAGAGTCGTGGAACTAAAGTGCTTGGCACTAACGAAACACAGCCGTCACACGCGCAAACACACGTGGCAGCATTTGACAGTGCCACGCAATGTTTTTATAGGGCGTGGGAACAGCTTTGTATTACACCGAGACTCGTGTGTGTGTGTGTGAGACCTAGGACCATCGAATCAGCTGTCAGGACAGTCTTAACTTCTTTAATTATGCGTGAACATTACCAAAAATCTAATTAAATTCCACTTCGTTAACCGTGTTGTGACCCCAAGTACGGAGAACATCGGTGGCAGGTGATACGAGCGATGACAACCTCAGACATCCAAGCAACACCCTCAAGGAAAACTCGCCGGCTGACTTGAGTGCCGCGTGTGCTGCGCGTTAGGCCGGGAGTCCCGGCGTGGAGCTCACGCTGGAGGAGCTGCAGGAGATGGCAACGAGGCAGCAGCAGCAGATCGAGGCTCAGCAGCAGCTGTTGGTCGCCAAGGTAGGAGCACGGCCCGTCGTGAACCGGTTGTTGTTCTTAGTGTAAAGGAGTTCCAGCCGGGAGGGCTTTGAACCTCTGTCGTTGTTACATCGTCTTCTGCTCTGCACGTGACGCACCAGGAAATCGCTCGGTTCAGGTGCCGCCCGGAACCTCCTTCTACCCCTCCTTTTATTCTACTCGTCGTCCTTTCTGGAACTTTCCATGACTCTCCACCAATCCCATTTCCGTTTTTATTCTTAAGTGTGTGGTGTCCGTGCTGAGCCGCGTTGTATGATTGGCGCAAGAGGGTTACCACCCCTGCCCCCTCCTGCCATGGCGTTGGCGTAACATCGCCTACGGCTAGATCTCACCTGCTCTTCTTCAGTGCACGGGGAGCGGTGACACGGGGGTCGGTGCACCGCATTTAGAACCCCGAGCTAGATTCTCGGTCACGGCTAACAACGGTGGCGAGTGATATCTGTACCGGTCCTGCGTGCCCTCCCTTCACCAGCCCACACTGACCAGAGAGGTGAAGTATGGTCGGACCACCCGCGTGAGCGGAATACCGCCGGCCCGACCTTCAGCCAGCTTATGGGTTCACAAAGGCGCGTGAATGATTTCTTTAGCATGTCGCCCTCTGTGCTAAGTCATGTTGGTGTGGTTATTGGCACCGGGGTGTGGAGTGTTACCATCCCTGGCTCCTCTTGTTCACGCTGCTACAATAACATTGCTCAGAAACTGCACGTCGCGGCGCGTTTCTTCAGCACGCCGTGTCGGCTCTAATCCGCGTTTTCGTTTTCTTTGCCGCAGGAGCAGAGGCTGCTCTACCTGAAGCAACAAGAAGCGAGACAGAAGCAGCAGCAGCAGCAGCACTCGGCGGGGGGCACGGGCATTGACGGCGAGAAGCTGCGAGCCCTGCGGGAGAAGATCGAGAGCCAGGAAGCCAAACTCCGCAAGATCCGAGCGGCAAAGGGCCAGGCGGACAACGCGCGTCACACCAACAAGAACCTCGGTAATTTGCTAATAATTTGGTACTCTTTCGACTATAGCTTTGGTTCATTTGTATTACAAACTTGAAATATAATTTTCATACCATTGTGTAAATGGGTAGTTCAAGCCGGTTGGGATTGATGACGCGCTGGCCGTGAGTTTACCATGTTTGGGGGGATGGATGCCCCCGATGTACCATTTTAAAATCGTGATTATATATAAAAAAAATCTACCGCTCTTTTCATCGTCAGCATTATAGAAATACCTCAACTTCTCGAACCGTATTCATAAACTGTGCATATTAAGTTCTAAAGCCAGCTGAATCGGTTACCTGGTTTCAACCACTTGTGAACGCCCACCACTGGCAATCGGGATGTGACCGTGGCTGGGTTCAATCGGAAGACAAAGGCGGCTCGTTGTGCTCAACGCCACCGCCGCCCTCCCTTTTCTCGGCGTCGGCACTTCCTCCAACCGTCTCTTGAGGCCACGCGGGGGGGAATTCTTGTCTCCGTGTCGGCGTTGCGCAGCGGCGGAGATGGAGCAAGTGAACGCGCTGTTCTTAGAGAAGCAGCAGGAGCTGGCCGTGGCGAGCCACAAGGTGGAGAAGCTGACGCGTCAGCTCGACGAACTGCGCGCTTCCTCCGGCACGGCGGCGGGGAACCCCCAGGCCGGCTGCACGGCTGGAGGGTTCCAGGGAGCGGTCGCGGTGGCCCAGGCCGGCCACGTGCCCTCGCCGGCCGCCGTGGAGCTGGAGAGGCTGTCCAGAGAGCTGCAGGTGAGGAGACTCCCACGGGTAGGCCCCTTCGCCGGGTACTACTTCTAGGACTCGTTAAATTAACAAACGCAACCTCGTGAGCCGGTGTCAAGAAACTGTTTGTGCCTTTATCGGAGCTTGAACATGAGTCGCAGATTAAAGTAATTGATCGAGTGCACAAACGCATCGCTGAAAGTTGCCGTTTTGAGCCAGAAAAACAACACCGTCATGTACGTGAGATCGTTAATTGGAGCCACGCATGTTGATGTTTCGGTTTAAACACATCGGTTTGTACTTGGTACTTGTAAGAGTACACTGCTGGGGTTGGCACTGCGTTGTGGGTGAGCTGTTGCCAACCCCAGTGATTAAAAGAGCATTTTTTTTACGTTTTTGTCAGATGCTGCCTCTCTTTGTGTTTGTGCTCATCGGAGATGGAGATCAATGCCAATTACACTCGTACAGTTAGCGGACTAAGAGTTTGCAGTGTAAACCTTTGTTCAGATGTTGACTCGCGTAGCGTCGTTTCTCTTGGAAGCTATGGGGAGTGTCACATTTGTGTGTGTGGGGAGCAGAGGTGCAGTGCTTGACACATTGAGATACAAACTTAGTTCTATTCCCAGTCACAGATAATACCATTGGCACGTTACATCAGAACCAGTCTTGGGCCATCCTGAGGGCGACTCGGCCTTAAACAAGTACCTTGTGCAGTGTATAAGGTCAGCACTGGGAAGACAAAGGCGGCCAACGTGGTGTTGGTAACACCATGCTCTTGTGTGTCGTGCAGGTCCTCACTAACGGCACTTGCCCCAACATTGTTAACAGGCTATCGGGGGCTCCTTGTTTCTTGTCGACGATTGAACGTAACCGTTGGCCGTGCAGATGAGAAACAAACTGAACCAGGAGCAGAACTCGCGCCTGCAGCAGCAGAAGGACCTGCTCAACAAGCGCAACCAGGAGGTGGTCATGATGGACAGGCGCATCAGCGAGCTGCGCGAGCGTCTGCGGTCGAAGAAAGCTGCGGCGCAGCAAAAGGAAAACATTCCCGTAAGACGCCCGCAGGCACCACGCGGCCTCCAGCGGGGACGGCGTTCCCCACCATCGACCCGCCGCGTTGCGCTCGTGGACTCCGCCGTGGGGTCGCGGTGTCCACGCAGGACTTGCCGCGTACGCATCGAGAGCGCTCCGACGGACGTGGATTTCTTAAACATTAATTTTACAGGCGATTTTTACGGAGAAACTCCGGCGCTCCGTTCGCTTGCCAGACAACTGACGTGCGCGTCGCTCTGACGTTTCCTCTGCACAGGTGAACGTCGGAGACACGATTCAGCCGAGACACGCGAGCGCCGCCGGTGGCAGGGTGGCGGCCGTGGGCCCCATCGTGCAGTCGCAGGCGGCCGCGGCCGCAGCGCAGCACCGGGGCCCCGCCGTGCCCGCAAAACCCAACGGCGCCGTGAAGAGCACGGCCCCGCACGGTGGTGGCGGCACCCTCGCGGACGGGCCGGTCAAGCCGAGCTCCTTGCTCGTTGAGACGAGCTCCCCTCTGAGACACGCTGCTGCTGCTGCTCCAGAGGTCAGCTCGCCCCTGGGTATAGCCATGGCCCAGGCAATCAATGGTAAGTGCGCGCGAGCCTCTTGGGTTTGCTGCAATAATTCTGGTCTGGGTTGGTGTTGCTTTTTCCCGGGAATGGTCGTTAGCAGGCACGTAACGGTTTTAGCACGGTTGGCTACCTACGGTGCGAAAGAAGTTCAGCACGCGTACATACAACGGTTATTATATCAAGGCCGATTTTTACATTATTAATACGTGCATCGAGTTGTGCGTGGAGGAATTGGTTGCTTGAGTTTTGCGCAACTTATTTGGACGTTTTTTTGCATTGAGAAATGTAGAGAACCATGATGGAACAAATGAGAAATAATAGAAATGAGTAAACAGGAGACAAACTCGAAGTGACTTTTTCAATCAAGTTGCAACAAACCTGACTTGTGATCGATCAGTCATTGAATTGTGGGGGAGGGAACGAGTGTTGCATGCCTAGCATGCTTATTTCATTGTTTTATGCAAGTACAGCAGTTTCTAGTTTTTGAGAGATGTGCGTGTGTAAATCTGGAGTGGTGGTACAATAGTTAGCAGACTGAGCTATGAATTCGGTGACCTGAGTTCGATTCCCAGCAACTCTCATTGACGAGTGCGGTGAAGTATGGTCAGACGTCAGGGGATTGACTGACAGCAGTGGATTTTTAAGACTGAACTATGAATATTCTGCATGAGATCAAGTGGTTATGCACGTTTTGCTGTTTGGATTTTTTTAGTTTTGTGGCAAATAAGAAGCACATACATTTTCCCCAAAATATTATTGAGAACCAAGCATAAACGCCAAGTATTGTCTGATTTCCTTCAGCAGCATTGCACGAGAAGTAAAATATTGTTACCTTATTTTGGTGAAATTCTATGCCTGCTAATGAAGTGTTATATTTTGCTGTAGGTAATACAGCAGCCTCTGAAAAGAAAGATGTTACTGAGCAGGTAAATACCGATCACACACTGATCATTGACACACCATTAACACACCGTGCATGCACCAATCACACACCGTGTACATACCGATCACTCTCGGTACTTACACCGCAACGCGTGAGTTTCTGCTCAAACAGCCATGGGGCAGTGCTCATCTCCTCTCCACAGCGCTGAGGCAGCGCTGGAAATTCCACATTCCTCTAGCAGGAGCACGTCTATCCACAGGACAATACCACTTATCCCTTTCCGAAAAGCGGTCGCTATTTTATCTTTTGGGGGGGGGTCGCGTGCCTGCCGGGGTGAGAAGAGGTGCAGAACACGGAATGAGGTGGCATGGATAAATTGTTAAAGTGATGATTGGCAGCGAGAGGTGTTGTGGGTGTGTAACAGAGGTGGATATAGTGGAGACCAGTGAAACATCGTTTTGTCTGATGTCTGCGCTTGGGGTTCTCCTTCTAACCAAGGTTAAAGAGAAGGGAGTTTTTTTTTCATTAAGCGTTTTGTCTCTGCAGCCGACCGTCAACGGAAGAACAAATCCCATCTCGCCCGATTCCGACAATCCCAAGATGCCTTCCTGTCAGTACTCCGGCAAACAGACGCTGGACAGCCCTTGCGCGACCGCGGGCCCTGGCAGCGACGGGATGGACGCAGACAGGAGGGGGGGGGACGGAGCTCGCCCCGGCCTGCGGGAGAGCACCGGGGCCGCCGGCGCTGCCGTGGGCAGGCAGCGGTCAACGGTGGGGACTCAGGCCAAGGGTGGTGCGCCCCCGCCCCCACCGCAGCGCACCTCGCACCACATCCAGCAGCGGATCTCAGTGCCGCCCACGGTCGACGAGCTGCCCATGTCGCCCCTGTCGCCCCTGTCGCCGCTGTCCGTGCACTCGAACCCGTCGTCCCCCGTCGGGACGGACTCGCTGCTCTTCCACCACCACTGCCCGCAGTCCGCGGCCGTCAGGCCCTTCGTGTCGATGTCTGGCCAAGGGCAGTCCCACAAGCCCCAGTCCCCTCGCAAGGCTCCCACCTCGCAGACGGTCAGCTCCATCTACTCCATGTACACCCAGCAGGCGGCGCCGCCACCTCGCAACTTCCAGCAGGCGGTGCTCGACGCGCTCAGCCTGCGGCGTGGGCCCGGCCCTCGGCCCTCCGGCACTACCGGGAACGGTGAGCCGACGCGTGTGATGGGCAGCCTCTTTTTTCCACTGCACGAGCGAGCCGCGTCAGGGCCGTGCGGGACCAGCTTGGCATTTTTATTTTTTCCATTGCAGAAGCCAAAACCGTGCCGCCGACGTCACGCGCGGCGAATGGGTTGAGACGCGCGTGGACGACGCGGCGACACCGTGACCTCTCTCTGCTGACCGATGTCGCTCGCTACGAACGCGTCATTAGGCCCGCTCCTGGTCCTGCATGGCCCCAAGCCATATTTTTTTAAACTACTTTTTTTGATGTCGCATCTGCGAAATTCCCACAAAGAGTGGTGTCTTGTGATGTTGGGTGACTACAGACAGTAGTGAGATGCTGTCTAGGCCTTCTTGCGTACCACAGCCCGGAAATTTTAAAATGTTGTGAAAAGTCTAATCTGTGAGGCAGATTCTGTCGAATCCTGCTTATTGACAGCGCATAATGTACGCTAACCTATCCCTGTGATGTCGGTGCACTTCTCATTAGCACGTTTGTCTACGTATGGTGCGAAAGAAGTTCAACATACATAAATTGTGAGGCCAGCTTATCGTGGTTTTTGTTTCTGGCTCGGTATGGCAAATAGCCAGTGGAAAACCACGCTCGTTTTGTTTTATTGTTAACGATGTTATCGTGAATTTCAGGTTACAGCAGGCTTCCCCCGTCGAACTCCGGCAGCTCCTACGGTTGCCCTCAAGGCACGGAGAGGTCAGACGGAGAGGCGACGGCCGCCTTGGCAGGGGTCTCCCCGGCAGCGCGGCCGCTCAGCCCCACCAAGCTGCTGCCCTTCAACGCCCTGCCCACGTCGGCGCGCTACCAGAGCGAGGCCGACCTGGAAGCGCTGCGGCGGAAGCTGGCCAACGCGCCGCGGCCGCTTAAGAAGCGCAGCTCCATCACCGACTGCGACGACGGTCCCGCCGGCAGCGGCGGCCCCGGCGCCGTCCAGAAAATCCTCTACCAGCGCTACAACCCGCTGGCGACCACCGATGTGACGGCGTCCGCGCCGCCTGCCCACGGCTCGGCGGCCGGCGCCGGTGCCGGCGTCGCCGCCGCGCCCTTCTACAAGCCCAAGTGGCCCCCGGCGTATGCGCCCAATGGCTCGCACGGGCCGGCCCACGCCGCGGGGACGGGCCACGGGGGAGATGCGCGCTCGCCGGGCCACTTTGGGGACGAGGCTGCGAACGGAAACGTCGAGAGGGCTGGTGCCAAGGCGGACTCGAACTCGGCGCTGGCCAGAGAAGAGGCCGCCCTGCCTTCGCCAAATTCCGTCGCCGAAGACGACCAGAACAACAACGTGATGGTGTCGGCGATGCACCAAGTGGGGGGACTGTTCGTAGGGAACGTGGCGGACGACGATTTTCCCATGTCGCCGCCACCACCGTACCCTTCCTTGGCGGAGCACGAGAGGGTGCCCACCATCATTAGCTCCACAGCTCCTCTGCCACCGGTGAGTCTTTGAGCAAGGAGGCGTTGCTGTTTCGTTATCCTCCGCCCTGTCCTCTCGAGCGGTCTTAGCTAAAGGGTGCTGACGGCCGCCCAATCCCCCGGTGTGCCACATTCATGCCACATTAATCCAAAACTGATGCGCACGCTTAATAAAGACAACTTTATTGTACCATCGGTCATCATCGTAAGTGGTGTTTTTATAACGCATTCATGACATCATTAGCATGGTATGGCTTTAACGTGAGCTCGCATTTATGGCTTACGTATGACATGGCTTTATGGGTTGCTGGGAGGAGTTAATTGGAGGCGTGGTGCAGTTGTGTGTGGTGGTGTTGTTGGCCGTGTACTCCGAGTGCCCGGGGGTGGCGACGGTGACCTTCTCCGTCCCTGCCACAGGGCAAGCGCACGAACCTGAAGAAGAACGGCTCGGAGCGGATAGGCCATGGCATGCGCGTCAAGTTTGACCCGCTGGCCATCCTGCTGGACGCGGCGCTGGAGGGAGACTACGAGCTGGTGCAGCGCGTCCTGTGCGAGGTAGGGATGTCGTTCCGACTCTCATCGGTCTGAAAAATAAATCAAATATTAAATCAAACGATCGAGCTTCATACGAAATTGCAGATGATCCGGGGGAAAATTTGATTTCGGATCGATCGGAAGATGTGAAGTCACATCTGCGCTTTTCCCGTAAAGAGTGGTGTTTTAAATTTTGATTTAAAGCTTTCGTGACTGCAGTAATTCATATTCTTAGTTTTTTCGGTAAAGTCACGTTGAAGAGAAACAACAAATATATATATTTTGTTATTTTGTTGTTTCTCTTCAACGTGACTTTACCGAAAAAACTAAGAATATGAGTGGTGTTTTGTGACGTTGGGTGACTACGGGGAGTAGTGAGATGCTGTGCAAGCCTTGTTGCGTACCACAGCCCAGCAGTTGAAAAATGTTGTGGAAAGTCTGTGAGGCAGATTCTGTCGAATCGTGCCCATTGACAGTGCATCAAGATGTACGCTAACTTATCCCTGCGATGTCGGTGCACTTCTGATTAGCACTCTTGGCTACTTACGGGACGAAAGAAGTTGAACATACATACAGCCTGCGTGTTCCGGTTAAACCCCTCGGGCATGGGAGGTGCATTTGTGTTGTTCGTTTTAGAGCGTTTTCTCGTGTTGTGATTCACTTATGACCATGGATTTGGCAGGGCGGAGGGGGCTTTTAGATCTTCTCTCCCACGGTGAACAAATTCCTATTTGGGGACAGGAGTTGCGTTTCTCCTGGACCCCGGTTAGCCTTTGGGAGCCATCCCGTGCGGTAACGAAGTCCGCTGCTCCAACTGAAAGCGCCCCCCCCTGCGATTGTTCCCGTGTGCGAGCGAAGGTGCGCGACGCAAGCCAGCCCAACGACGAGGGCATCACGGCGCTGCACAACGCCGTGTGCGCCGGCCACATGGAGATCGTGCGCCTGCTCGTGCACACCGGGGTGAACGTGAACGCCGCCGACAGCGACGGGTGGTGAGCCGCGTGGTCTGCGCGCTGCCGCTGCCGCCGCTGCTGCCGCTGCCGCCGCTGCTGCTGCTGCCACCGCTGCTGCTGCCGCTGCTGCCACTGCTGCTGCTGCCACCGCTGCTGCCACCGCTGCTGCCACCGCTGCTGCTGCCACCGCTGCTGCCACCGCTGCTGCTACCACCGCATGTGCTCACCAGACTTGGGACGTGGCGAGAAACATGTCGCGGCAGTGGCGTAGTTTACCGATTTTTCGTTCGTAGTATCAGTGTCTACTGGAGGAGTAGTACCCTTTTAGAAATAAGATTCGCAAGCCGCACGATGTTATTACACTCCAGCGCTACAACACCACTCCTGATAGTGACTTTAAAGTATTTTTTTTCTCATTCACCAAGTCTCCAGCTCACATCAACACAACGACGTGAGGGCTTTCCTTTTAGGATATGAGAATTAGAAAAAAAAAATGTGATTGCCATGCAACGAACATTCTCTGCAGGCCATGTAAGCGGTGCGTCTCCTCCTGTCATGTGGATTAGGAGGCTTGCTGAAGTGCCCCTTCATCAAGTAGTTCTGCGTTGTCATCTTTTTCCCGGCCATTCTCTCACTTGTCTTCCTTCCCTTGGCGTGATGCCAGCAGCATAATCGGACGGTTATTTGGGAAAGGATAATAGATTAGAAGCGAGCGTGTAAAGGAGGCAGCCTGCCAAATCTGGACACCTCATTTCAGACCTCACTCATTCAACAAGATTTTTCCAAGTATTCAATCCTCGGCCCCGTGTTCTTTTCATTATAGAAAAATGACGGTGGTTCGCCATCCTTGTAGTTTCATTATTAAATTGACATTTGTCCAAATGTGCCGTGGAATTCAACGAACGTTTCCTTGCAGGCAGTAAAAAAGTGCCAATAGGAGTATCGATACCCTGGCTCTGTCAGCACGTGCAGTGCATTGTGGGAGCTGCTTTGTGTCCTTGTCATGAACCGAGCGAGTGGGAGAAGCTGTCATGGTGGTGGTCTGCCTCGTGGGTCACAGTTAGCTCCTCCTGATATACAGGAGGTCGTGGGTTCGATCCTGATGCTTGTATATAAGGAATATGTATGTTCTCCGCATGGATTTTTCTTCGTGTCCTCAAGTTTTTCCCTTCATATTTAGGAACATGTGTTTAGAGTATTTGGCTGATATACATTTCCACGTGATAATCTTCGTTGAGCTATCATTTGTGGCCAAGTTGCTTCTGAAAAGAGAGATGTCTCGCTCAGTGGACCTTGCCTGGTAATATAAAAAAATGATTCGTTTATAGTTTAAAAGGCAGATTTCAAAACGTTTCTGCTACAGATTTTACATTTACTCAATTTATAAGATACCCTTCAATGTTTGAGTCTACTCTTTCATGCCACAAAAGTACATAACACCCAGAGACAAAGATCCCTTGTAAATCAGACTGCTGGGGCAAGTGCCTTTAGCGAGCACATATGAAGGCCCGGACGGCGTACGAGGGCTTGATGTGGCCAACGCCACGCCACAGCTGCCTTTGTCTCCCCAGCGGTGATGTTCACACCACCGGTGATTGACAAGTTCCGGTATGTGACCTAATCGTCCTGCCTCCCACCCCGTCGCGAGCGCCGCACGCCAGTTTAACACTTAGTGGGCTGTCGCGACCAGTATCATCCATAATAGTGTTTTTTGGTTAGATCGCGTTAATATAAACGTGTCGTTAAACCCGCCACCATCGAGCCACGCACCACGTGGGTGACGCGCTGGCGCACGATAACTCGGTAACGAGCGGCGGAACGTCGGTCCCTTGCCCCCCCCTCCTGTCCACAGGACGCCGCTGCACTGCGCGGCGTCGTGCAACAACGTGCACCTGTGCAAGTTCCTGGTGGAGTCCGGGGCGGCCGTGTTCGCCGTCACCATCAGCGACAGCGAGACGGCGGCGGACAAGTGCGAGGAGATGGAGGAGGGATACCAGCAGTGCTCGCAGTTCCTCTACGGTAGGGCGGGCCGCGGCTGCATATATATATACGTGTGAATGTGTGTGCGTATACGTGTGAATGTGTGTGTGTATACGTTTAGTTTAACAGCAGAGGTCTCACTCCAAATCAGTCGAGCGGCAATATCTTTTCATCGCTTGCGTAACGCTGTGTGGAAGCTACCTGGACTGTCGCTCCGCACTAAGCTTCAGGTCTTCTCGGCCACGGTCATTCCCTCCCTTCTCTACGCTTGCGAAACGTGGACCCCCCTAATGGAACATCTTCGCCGGTTAGAAACATTTAGGCTAGCCTGCCTACGATCCATCCTGGGTTTAACCAGGCTGGATTTTGTGAGGAGCTCATAAATCTTTGAAAGATCTGGGCAAGGTCCCATCGGTGAGCTCCTCCGGCAGGCAAGGCAGCGTTGGCATGCCCAGCCACCGCATGCCGAAACAGCTTTTGTTCGGCCGGATCGAGGGGGCTAAACGGGCGCGGCACGGGCTAGAGAAGAGATGGAGTGTTGTGGTACAGGAGGACGCGGAGCTGAGTGGACTTGCCGATGACTGGTACCAGCGGTGTCAAGATCGGCCTCTGTGGAGGAGGCTCGTGAAGGACGCTATTGGGCAGTTGGAGGCAGTCGCCCTCCAACAACAACGGAGGGCGGAGGAGCGACGCTCACAACAACGAGCGGAGCGCCGGGTGACTAGAGCACAGCAGGTTGGCACAGTAGGGGGCACAGGTGGTGCATCAGCCAGTCATCTCAGTCATCTCAGTCAGTCGACCCGTGGCACTTGGGTCTGCCCCGTGACCTCCTGCCCACGGGCGTTCGACACTTCACGTGGCCTCAAGGTGCACATGGCCTGGCACAAGCGTCGTGGTGACGTCACCGCCACTTAGTGGCAAATGGCGGTTGTTGTTGTATACGTATGTGTCTATGTCTACTATGTACGTGTGTATGTTGAACTTCTTTTGCACCGTACGTAGCCAACTGTGCTAATCGGAGGTGCGGGGGAAGAACAACTAATTAATCAAAAAAATCTGGGAATGTGGGAAGGCCGTGAAACCACTCCACACCTCTGCAGCGCCGCGTCTTCACCTCTCACGGCATGCATCGCCCACCTCCACATGCATCCTCCACCTCTCCTCTCATCACCCATCTCTCACCCGATGCGTCACCCTCCTCTCGATGCGTCCCACGCCTCGCTCCACGCATCTCTGCTCTGCGCCCATCTCCACTTCACTCCGAGTTGCCCGGTGCTCGGTTGAGACCCGGTTGCCATGACGCACCGCTAATGAGTGTGGGCCCACGTGCAGTGGGAGCTGTGCGCAGTGAGGATTACATCGCTTCACTTAATGCAGGGCCACCGGCTCTTCCTGTCAAAACGAGCAGATATCCAGCTGTGAAAACACGTCATAACTACATTTCTCGTGTGCTATATATTCCAACTAAAATTTGCCCTTATTGGAAATCTATTATTCATTAATTGACGGAGAATATAACATAGCAAACGCTGCCCTTGTGGGAGTATTCTGAAGAGATGTGAATGCAAAGTGTTGACTCATCCCGTGAATAATTTGCAATCTAAATTAGAAGGAAGCCATTCTCCCACCGGTTTGCTTTGAGATTTTTGAGGTCATGGAGGTCGGCTTATAATGATGTGGATATTTTTCCTCGAATGTGAATGTATTTTGAATGTTGTGGCCATGGACTTGGTGATCCTACGCACGTTGAACAGGATTCATTTGGACCCAAATCACTTGCCTCTTTATTTAACGTTCTTTCAAAGGTGAAACTTAAATCAAACTAAGGCTGCAACTTTTAAAGATGAAATAACTAAAATGTTCCATTGTTGTGTTCAACAACCACATGGCATATCATTTCCACGTAATTAGAAAGCATCATAAATATTTAATTCTCACCAGCGTGATACGATGCACGTATTGTGGGGTTATAAGAATCAATTTCAAATGAGGGAGCATTTTTTCTTACTTTCTTAAATATTTAGCTCCTTCTAAATAAAACAAGGCCTCAGAGGAGGGGCAGCTGCAGCACGACGCACGATTTCAACACCATGAGCTCACCAAAACCCGCAGCATCTACTGCCTATTTATTCCCCCCTCACCTCCGATGAGCACGGTTGGCTACGTACGGTACGAAAGAAGTTCTACGTACATACATACACTCGCTCAACCACACACACACACACACATATATCTTTGGCGATGATGGACATTCGATGCCCCCACTTGCCGCTGCAGGCGTGCAGGAGAAGCTGGGCCTCATGAACAAGTGCGTGGTGTTTGCGCTGTGGGACTACGAGGCGACGCGGGACGACGAGCTGGCGGTGCGCGAAGGCGACTCGCTGAGCGTGCTGCGCCGGAGCTGCGGCGGCGGCGGCGCTAACGACGACGCCGACAACGACAACGGCGGCCGTGGCGGCGGCGAGGCGGAGGACGGTGGCGGCGCGGAGACGGAGTGGTGGTGGGCGCGCCTCGGGGAGCGCGAGGGCTTCGTCCCGCGCAACCTGCTCGGGGTGAGTTTGCGCTCCGCGTTCGCCTTCCCCGCCCCTCGTGCAACCCAGGGGGGGGGGCGCCGCTTCGAGTCGTTGGCCCGGCGGGTTCACACGGTGGCGCACGGTTCTTAAATCTCTCCCGCCGCCTCCGTGCGGTCGCGTGAGGCGGGGGTAATGTGTGGGTACTCGCGCATCTCCTGAGATGCCTGGCCGGCGTGGAAGAGAAGGGTGCACTCTCTAGAGGGCCTCTCCAGAGCTGCCTCTCGTAGCGTGAGCAGGCAATTGCAGGGCTGCACCTTTACCTGTTATCAATGGGGCATCCGGGTTGACCAGTCGCGTGCCGTTCTTGTGGTCCCTGACTTTGCCGGTCTCCACCCATCCTCCGTTATCTTGCAGTAATGGCAAGGCATTTCCTAACAAGCCTACCTGTTTATGCTATTGGAAAAATGCTAAGATAATAATGAAAACTAATAGTGACTGTCTTTATTGTGTAGAAGCTCTAGACGCTATATTGTATCCTCAAGAAACATTTAACTTGTGCATTTGTAAATGATAACGGTGTTACAACTATAATCATACACACATCTTGGCCTTATAATGCTAAAAACAAGATCACACTCTCATTGCTTCCACTAACACTACGTATTTAGGTATGTTAAAATAACGGTCTTAGTTTTATTGAAAGTTGTTAACCGTGAAATACACATTCCTTGCTGTTACTCAAATTAAAGTTCCGTGTGTCTCTTCTGAAACGCATTTTTGTTTGTTTGTCTGTCTCAGTTGTATCCTCGGATCAAACCGAAGAGCAGGAGTTTGGCGTGACGGCTCCGGGCCCGGCTGCGCGCTGTTGTGACGCCTGCCCCTGCGGTTTGGTTATTTTGCTGCGTCACTCTGCATAGCCAGCCTCATTCTCCTGCAACAGCAGCAGCAGCAGCAAGTGAAATATTCTCGAGTGTGCTTTGTGTCTTTCTAGCAGTGCGCACCTCATCAAAGTGGAGCGTATGCTTGTTTAACAACAGTTGCTTGGGCGTTTTTTCACAAACATTGTGGACGTCGTTGGCCTGAGTATGCGTCCCTAAAGCATGGGTTCACAGCTGCATCCCAAACACATTTTGTGTAAGTGATAGCCTACTGTGGAAAACCCCGTGGGTGTTTGCTCGCAGGACTCTGCTCTGAGTGCAGGTGACGCCAGCGCACAGGCCGAGCTGCTCAGTCACAACCGTGGTGGGGTACTCCTCTCCAGTGGCAGCAGCCAGGGGCTTGTGGGGGAAATTCCACATCCCTGTGATGGAGGGGCCAGCTTTCCATAGGACAAGCTCTGTTACAAAGTGGTACTATCTTATCGACCGCGGAGGGGATGATAGGCTGATGACCTTAAACAAGAATTTGTTGAATTAACACCTTTCAAATGATAAGGATGGGAGGCACGGCTGGTGGTACTGATCGCGCCAGTGCGGGAACTACCTAGACCTTGTCACTTTGAACGTGCATGCACGTTTTGTTGAAGGAGACAATACAGTCACCGAAAGCGTGAAGAAACAACAGTTTATGTTCAGTCCTTTGGATATAGGTCTTCCCACGCCAAGTCAGGTGTAGGGATTATTTAACCATACTTCACCACAGTGGTCAGTGTAGGTTGCTAACGATGTATTCTGATGTTTGGAGGGGTTGCCTTGGGCACGTGACGTTTGTTGTTACTCAAGAGCATGCTCCTCTTTATTGCGGTTCGTCTGCCTGTAGATATGTCTGGGTGAATCCTTTCCTCGTTACTTTTATACTGTAGCTGTCAAATAGTTTACCTTGCTTTCTGTGGCGATACACATTGTCGTGTAGATGTAAATTATAGTCAAAAGGTGATGTGTTGAGTTTTTGGTTTTGTAGAATTTTTCCGTTGACAAAATATGAATGTTTGATGAAAAAACACGACCATAGATATCCTGCAAGTCACATGTGCTGTAATGTACGCTGCGGGTTACAAGAGGGGCACGTGGGGAAGGAGTGGAGCTTGACGTGAGGGCTCAGCAAGGGTCACGCTGCCGCACCACGCACGCCGGGAGATGCCATCGAGGAGAAACGGCGCGGAAGGTTGACGCGTGTCGTGGCGTTCATTTGCGACGATGCTGCGGTTCACGCGTCCTGCTCGGCCAGGCCGCCATCGCTGAGTGCGGGGCTTGGTAGAGTTCAACAGCCTACCGCGCAGCCAAAACCCAGCCCCCAGTGACTACGTTCTCTACTGCTTTACTGTTCAGAATCACGGAGAGACGCATGATTGGTCATAGATGTTTAAATGATCGAGAAGGCTAAGTGTCTGTCCGACTGGATTCCTCATTATCATCCGCCATCAAGCCAACACCGCCACCCCTCGGGGTCCTGCGTTGCCATGGTTCCCGTAGCACCGGCACGCGGACCGAGTTCGAAGAAGGGGACTGGTCTCTTGCTGGGACTTCCTCATCCGTTTCAGAGTGGAGAGGTTGAGTAGAGTTGAGTTGGGGATTCTATTGCAACACGGTGAAGAGGTCTTGTCTCCAGCTCATCTCCTCCTCACTCGGGTGGAGCGCTGTCCCAAGTGCTCCTTGTGCCTCTAATCACGTACCACTGCAGCTCGGCGCATTGCGTCGCCGCTACGTAGAATATACTTGTGCCTAGAGGGTTGGATAGAAGACACTGTATTCCTAGATCTGCGTGCTTTCACTTGTACATATAGTAAACCAAACCTTGCAACGAGCATTGTCCTCGGTGACCCCTGCGTAGCGTGAGAGATGGGTGAAGCATCAGAGGTGTGGCAGTCGGCAAGGGTTGTGGTTGGTTTGTTTCATAAATGTAACGCGTTGTGATGGCTTGCAGTAACAAATATAATCAAGTTATGGTACTGCAGATGTTACAGGCCAGTTTCAATAGAAATGGGCGGATGAGACAAAGTGCACACTGTGCGTGTATGGAATATTAAAGTGTGCATGCCCCAGAGTCATTTAGTCTTCATGGTGTAGCAGCAGCAGTGCTGAGCCTTGCCTCTTCGGGCCACCTTTTCAATATCCACCCCTCGTGCACATCACTGCGACTTGCCCCTGGCTGTCGAGTTTCATGTTTCAGTTTATTGAAAGTCTCTGGCCGGCTTTAAGACAAACTGTTCATGGCTCGGAGGCCTCCCTTGCACTCCAAACCTTGATATTACATTTAACTACAAATAGAACTGTATTTGTAGAGTTTTATTAACTTGTGCAGCAGCAGCTCTTGCTGTGTACTTTGACCCAACGTGATTTTTCAATATTTGAGACTTAGCAGGTTCGACAGCATGATTTGAAGTGACGAATAACTATCCTCTTTGTTGAAGATTTAGCGAAGCAAGTCTTCTGTGGATTGTTTCCAATTTTATAAAATCGGACATTCGCGTCTCCGTTCTCTGTCAGGAGCAAGCAGAGCTCTCGCCATGACAAGTCTGGCGTGAGGCACTGGGATTGGCAGGTCAGTTTGTCCCAACTCGGGCGCAGACTCTAGAAGCTCTCCAGCCCAACGTAAAGTTTCTCTGTCAGGCAATTACTGCGGAAATCGCCGAAATAATCTAATTTCTTCACCTACATTACACAGTTGAACAAGCATCGTAAGAATCTCTCTGAAAAGCCAACGTCTTTTTGCACACGCAAACAATTGGGCGGCAGACCGGCAAAGGTTACTTCCTTGGTCTCATCGCCACTGTTGACTCCACAGAGCGGTATTTATTTTACCCATCGTCCGCAACGGATAAACCGCGCACGCAGGGCTCCGTTGCACCCGAGGGTTTTTCTCACGGCCGCACGACAAGCTGGCGCTTCGGCGTTGTGCGAGGCATCCCCTCGCTGGCGAGCGAGGCGTACCCACGCTGTTATTGACAATTACTTTTACGGCGTGCAGGATGCTGCCATGGGTGCAATGGGCTTGTAATTCAACCTTGAGGGCAGACCATCATCGAGGGCCTTCGGAGCACTAACCTGGTCTCCGAGATAGACTTGGGACCGGTGATTTCGCAAACAAAAGAGTTGAGCAGCCGCGTCGTGCCCCGACACCAGATCGCTCTCGGTCTTTTCATTCCCGGTCTGTGGCTGTCTTTGGGGAGTATAATGCGGAAGTTAATTGTTAGCCGCTTTAACCCTGTGAACACCACGAGAAGAAACTGCAATAATCAAAAACGGTACTCTTTAACAGTTTATTTATACACTTAGGCTTTCGCGACCAATATAATCCATTTTAGAGGTTTTTTCGGTTAGATTGTGTAAAGATATCTAAATGTGTCGTAAAAAATCTGGCTGTCGCCTGATGAAGCTAGTTGTAATTACTGGCGAAACGTCGTACTCTGATTGTAAAAGTTGTGGCTTGGCTCTCCAACACACCGGTGTGCTGGACTAGTGACGAATTGGCCACGTTCTGTTTAAGTGACAACCCTTACCAGTTGGCTGTGTCGGGTGGTGGCGAGTTTACCGACACATTTATATATTTACGCGATCTAACCCAAATAACCTCTTATGGAGTGTATTTATACGCTGCAGTACATTTCCGTATTACCCAGGTCATCTGAATAATTCAAAATATACAACGAATGACATTACTTCTGCACCATGTTTACTTTTGTCCCGATGTGTTGAGGGATTGTCGAGCATGGCAGTCTCATCCTGCGCAGTAGGCCACTGGAGCCCCCCCTCTCTCATTCTCCCCCCCCCCTCTCTCATTCTCCCCCCCCTCTCTCATTCTCCCCCCCCTCTCTCATTCTCCCCCCCCTCTCTCATTCTCCCCCCCCCTCTCATTCTCCCCCCCCCTCTCTCTCTCATTCTCCCCCTCCCTCGCTCTCTCATTCTCCCCCCCCCCTCTCTCTCATTCCCCCCCCCCTTCCCTCTCTCTTTCAAATTAATGTCACGGCATTTCCCCCTTCGCATCGGCTCCGGGGCGAGATGGAAGTAACGCTCCGTGTCTCTTCAGTCGACGAGACATTACCATGCACGTACAAAGACAGCACCATTAAATATTCCTCGCAATGTGCATAGTGAAGGTATATATTATATCTTTTTTTAATGTATAACGGTAATGAGTCTGTTTTGTTGGTGGTCTGAGACGAGTGGGTCAGTTGGTAAAGAGGATGAAAGCAGTGGTCGGTGATGTTTGCTTTGTGAAATGAAAAGGATATGTCAAGTGAATGGAGGCAGGTGATGTGAGGGTGTGTAGTGCTCCTGATGTAACGTTGAAAGGACAGCCATCATTTTAATCAAATCAAGGTAAAAAACACTACACGCTTTTGTAACATTTTCCTTTTTTTACATTAAAATTATAAAACGAGATGTCTGATGTCGATGCATTGATTTGTCAAATACGCGAACCACGTTGTGCCACATAATTAACTGAATTGGGTGATGTGTGTAGTCCCAACGGAGTAATTTGCAGCTGACTTTCCAGCATTGGGGGACGATTGGCCAATACCCTTGTTCCATTGTTTGGGTGGGGGGGTTGGGGGTTAGCTTTGGGAAAAAACCAGGGAACCAGGAGGAAAGCAGAACAGGGAGAGAATATACAGATTCCACACAGTAAGGTTCCTGAGTTTGGAATAGAACCCAGGCACGTCTTGCTGTGAGGCAAGTGTCACCAATGGGGCCACCTTGAGAGATAATTCAGTTACTCGCTAAATCGACGACGAGTCGGAGAGTTCTCAGCTTGTCGACCCTCCCTTGCTTGAAGTTGAATTTGTTGATGGTTATTTTTTATTAAAGGCCCCCCCCATGACTTCCCCTTAGTAGCTGGAGTGTAACTAACCCCACATTTCAAGTCGGGGCATGCACTGAAATTAATTATTTCGTGGCAAGAGCGTCTGCTAAGACCAGACTCGAGTGGAGAAACCTGAATGTCTCCGCCCGATCACATTCGTTGACTGTGCACAAATAAAACAATAGCTTTGCACATCATTCTGCCCGGTCCAATTTTTCACGCTGACATTTAATATATTTGATTTACGTGCCGCTTACCGCTCATTACACAGTCTGTGGCGCCTTAACGGGGTAAATCTACAATTCCACGTCAAGTGCTGCTTCCAACCCAGAGCTGGCCCCAAACAGATTGTGAGTTCCCGCTGATAGACAATGCCACGGAACGGGTTTGCGTCTCCTAACACGTCTCTAATGGTGTAACCGGGCGCCCCGAATCTCGCCGCTTCATGAACCCGGCGGCGTCCCACGATGTTGCTGCCGCGTTGTGTTTCGGATGCCCCGAGTCCACCGCACAGAGACGGCGTCGAGACCCGGCGATGAACCGCGGTGGAACTTTATTGGGTGGCTCAGCAGAAGCGTGGCTCTCAGCCCCACTAGAGGCTGAGCCTCGCTCAGCCTCCTCCTCAGCACACCGCGTGGAACTGAGCTGGTAAGACCGTATTCATCACTAGCTTGAGCGAAGCGAGGATGAGCCATTGTTGGCCAACTGAATCTCTGTCTGGTGTGAGGCAGCATTCTCGACGAATGCGGTGGTCAGCTATTTATACGAATATGACAGACACACTCAGACCTCCCAGGTACATGACGCAGACGCAAGGAGGGACTGATTCGTAGACAGGTTTTACCAGACCCATGCGTGCGCACTCTCACGAGTCGCCGTTTGGCCGGGAGGAATGGGCGAGGCGCGATCCTGCAGCAAACTTGGCAGGCGGCCCTGGCTCAGGTAGGGTCCGGGCAAGGGCGCTCCTGTTCAGATCTAAAGTGGTTTAGTGGGGATAGGCAAGCGTGTGCGTCGGGCAACAAAGACAAAGATCCCCCGTGTAACACGGTTGGGGCAAGTGCTGTTAGCGATCTCCAATGAAGGCTGGAACGGTACACGAGAGGGTGGGTCGCAGCACCACGCCCGGCCGCCTTTGTCTCTCCAGTGACGATGTTTACACTGCACAATATACTCATTTGGGGTTGAGTCTACCTAGGGGAGGCCCAGAACTGATTCAGATAATCGTCACTGGTGTTGGCCGTGAGCTGGAATCGAACTCGAGCAGCCGAGTTCGAAGCGCAGCACGCTAACCGCTACACTACCGCTCCCCCACGTGTGTATGTGTCTGACACGTATGTGTGTGTGTATGTATGACGCGCGCGTTTTATCATTGTAAATAAAGAGGCGGACGAGAGCATATTGGAGGACTTTTCTCAAACGCAACCTAATACAGAAATGAACAACAGCATTGGCAACGTGTCCAATGAGTAACGTGTCATGCTTTTTGCCTGCTCGGACACGTGGAGCAGAAACACGCACACGAACAACGAGAAGGAACGTTCCCGCAGTCCACGACGATTAGGGTTGGATTTAGAAGCTGTCCCTTCGTTGGCAGAAGTAATTCGATTTTTGCCTTTCTGATTTGTGTGCTACAATTATTTCTAAGACGTCTTAAATTCTGAGTTAGGGAATTTATGTTCCGAGACAGGGCCAAGCTCTATGACGTTTTGGTCGCAGTGGGTCTGATAAAATATAATTTGCGTGATCCAAGGATGTTGATAACCCTTGGCATGTTAAGTAGATTGTGTCGGTGGAGGGTGTTCAGGAATAAGCTCTTAAAGAAGGCCAACAAGTCCGTACGTTGGAAGATTTGTTTTTGTTTACATGGGAATTATTTATCAGGGTATGTCACCTATACATTTTTGGGAAGTTGAACGTTTTAAACGATCTTGTTTGGAGTAATTGGCAAGTGGAGGGGTTGCAGGTGTTTAGATGACCAAATATAAGATGTCACGCAGTGATCAGTTGAGTTACCCAAATTACCGACTGCCAAAGTGAAGCGAGGCGTATCCGTCAGGATTGTAGACATCACGGTGGCGTTTTCTGGATCCGTGGGCGATGTTAGACTTTGAAATAAAGGGTAAATAAACTGAACTATTTACAGCAGGTGGGGGAGGGGATATAAGCCAATTCCAATTTATATCACCTGGCAGGGTTAATTATGCAGAGGCGAATGGGAGTAATTTTTCATGGATTTGATAAACTGTGGAGGCGTGTGAAGCCTGGCAAAGATAGCAAATGGTCAAAGGAAAATCACAGACATTGGGACCCTAAGCATGACTAATCCATAGAATTATGGATTGGAAATCGATGTTGCCAAGGAACAATGTAAATGTGTATAAATTATAACACATCCATCTTTTGAGGGTATATTGGCTGAACAACAACATAAAATCCGGTAAGGGTTGTCCAAGACTCAAGTATCGTAAGCTGAAGCCAGGGTTCGGATATGCAGTCCCTGCAAAGTCTGCGTTGAGCGTGAGTCTGCATGAAGCACGTTGAGATTGCCTTGCAGACTCTACATGTTGAGCTCCATTCTGCCTCACGGCTTGTGAACTCATCATTGTGAGAGATACGATTTGGTCATTTACAGTGCTTACAGGACCTGGCTGGATTAAATTTGATTACATAAATAATAAAGAAAAACTATCAAAATGAGGTTTAAAGACTAATGCATCCTATATGGTTCATGGAAGCGCCATTGAATAACTGACGGAGTGGGAGCCATGCAAGGGATGGAGCAATCGCACGATCTCGTGTGCAGGTGCTGCACGATTTGTTGCACAACAGCATTGCGTGGGATGCTAACTGTGTCCAATACAAGAGATGTCACCAGCTGGTGATGTCACCACACCTCGTCATTGCCGTCAACCTGTCGCGAGATCCCGCAGCAGTTGCACGGTCCACGTGCGACCTCCAGGATCAGCCGTGGACGTCTCCCGCCATCCGATCTCAGGTCTCCACCTCCCCTTGGTCCCGGACTCGCGGGGGACCCCTGCAATGTCCGTGTGGGCAATGGCCCCTCACCCACCCTGCACGCGTCCCACCCACCCAACGTAGCCGTCTACGCCGAATCACATCCAGAGCCCTCGCCTGCCCTCTTCTCATCCGGACTCTGCGTCGCTTCTCCTGCACTGCCGCGGAATTCCCAACATCCGTGTCGGATTCCTTTCTGAGCCGCTGGGCGTCCTGCTGCTTGCTCTCTGATCCGCACAGTAAGGCGGATAGAGCACCCTGCCTCCAATACCACACTCTCTACACTCAGACGCATCTCTCTCCTTTAACATCGTGGTTTCCGTAGCCCATCAAACACCTGCCTGTGGACCTCACTGCGTCACTACACAAAGTCCTCGACCGCCTCCGCCTTCTCTCCTCCTACCAGGATCGCAACATCAACGTTGCCTTGGGAAAGATTAACGCGAGGCAGCGATGGCCAGCCTCAGTGTCTCTGACTGCCAGCTGCCACCAGACCAGCATCTCGTGCATGCTCCAAGCCCCGCGTTGTCTCGCCTGCACTCATACCTGGGGGTCCTCCTGTGCTCGCCCTACTCGTTCGTGAATACATCCCCCAGCAGGGTCCAGGTGACAGCGTGGAGAGTCCTTCATCCAGCAGTAGATTGTTCACAGCCGATGATTATGATAATTACATTTTTGGAACAATTCTCTGGTGTGTGTATAAAAGGTATTATGCTTTGTATGTATATGTATTGTATATATTATATAGTTATTGTCATGTGTAAATGTATCATGAATGTATGTATCATGAATGTATTTCTACGCAGCGTACACGAGTTTATATATATAGATAGGTATGTGTGCATGCACCTAATGGTTTTATTTTTGCATTGCGTGTGACATAACTGTGCATTGCATTTATACGCCTTTGTACAAAACATAAAATCATCTCTCCTTATATTATTCACATATAAAGATACAGTCGCTAGGTAACCCCACAGCCGCCAGCAAGACATTGTGTGAGGCTCCCCTATTGGACTGGCTGGCCAGCGTGAGGCGTCTTCGCGCACACGCGAGGCTCATTAGGGCCGCGCCGATGATGGACGTCACGGCTCACGGCTCCCGGCAGCGCCGCAGCCCCCAGCCTCGCCCGGACAGCCGCCTCCTCCTCCTCGTCGGAAGAGGCGCATCAGCACTGTATGCTACAGTTTGTGTGTGGCTTGCCGGTCGCTGGACCCAGCGTCAGCAGCGTCAGCAGCAGCAGCAGCTGGGACGCGCGTCTCATTGTTTAGCAGCTCCTGCAGGGGCATCGCCGCGTTCTTCTCTGTCGTGAGACGCGTCTCCCCCTCCTCCCCCCTCGTCCCCCCCCCCCCCTCCTCCAAGGATTTATTTCAATGCGTGATTCGTCATCGGTGTGTTCCCCACTCGCGCCAACAGACGTGACCCCCCATAAGCTGTAACCAAAGTGGCGAGGGATGATGGCTATAGACAGTAAGTAGCCCGCCTGCCTTGTGCCTGCGCGCGTTGTACCCTGCGTGTGTCTGTGCGCGCGTTGTGCTCTGCGTGTGTCTGTGCGCGCGTTGTGCCCTGCGTGTGTATGCGCGCGTTGTGCTCTGCGTGTGTCTGTGCGCGCGTTGTGCCCTGCGTGTGTATGCGCGCGTTGTGCTCTGCGTGTGTCTGTGCGCGCGCGTCAGCCTCTCTCTCGGCGTCGGTGTCCGTGTGGCCATGGCACTCCCCGGGTGCGTGCGCGCCCTGCCCGCGTGCCGAGTGCCGCCGCTGTCGCCGCGGCTGATCGGGCGTCACCGGGGCTCAGAGGGACCCCCCTCCCGCTGCCCTGCGCCATGGACTTCATCGCGGCGGGACGCTACTGCTGCCCGCTGCTTGCTTCGCTACTAGGTCCGCTTCTAGGTCGACAAGAGTGCCCGTGGAGTGGCGCAGCGTAGCAAAAACAAAGATCCCCCGTGTAGCCTTAAAATTCTGTTAGGGAAAGTGCTGTGAGCGAGCAGCACACATGAAAGCCGGCACTGCACACGAGGGGGTGGGTGACTTCATGGCTCGTCGGATTCCTCCAGGATAAATAAAACATTCTGATTCTTGTCGATGTCCGCGGGATGTGCTGGCAGCCACCTCGTCAGCACCACGGACAGCGCCTCACGCCAGGGCATGCCGCCTGCCCCTGCTGCGAACGTTGAAGCGACGTAAATCCGAACAGCGCAGGCAGCGTCGCATATCCGACTGTCACGAGCCCACCGTGATCAATTAACCGCCCCCAACCGAGTGCAGTATCTGTACATCGTGTCACCGTAATTTTCGATATATGTTCACATATCTGAGAGTTTCACATATCTGCCAATATTTATAAACACAACTTATAATAATTAAGTATTTCGATGTAAAGCTTTCGTGACTGCAATGATTAATCTTCTTTGGTTCTTTCGGTAAAGTCACGTAGAATGAGAATACAATAATAAATTGATAAAATAAAATAACACAATAATATTCTCACGACGTTTCGTCCTACCAGACAGTCTCGCCCCTTCACCTGATGAAGGCCGCTTGTGTTGTGGCCGAAACGTCGTGAGAATATTATTGTGTTATTTTATTTTATCAATTTATTATTTTATTCTCATTCTACGTGACTTTACCGAAAGAACCAAAGAAGATAATTAAGTATGTATACGTTTGTGTTCACAGTGTGTATATATGTTATGCGTTGGATGAGGCATTGCTGGTAGCTGGATAGCCAGATGGTAAAGTCTTTCTGGCGAGGTGAAAGTTTGCGATGGCTCATCATCAGTGACCATACTTCGCCTCCACTATGCAGTGTTGTGGACGGCAGAGTCCCCTGCGTCCTTGCCACAAGTCGGTAACCGTGGGGCTATGAATGGCAACAAATTGTATAGAGTACATGTAAAATACCTAACGCACGTCACTTACATTTATATCAAATAACTTTTCTTATTATTCAATATATACACATTATTCAATGTGCTCACATTGCAGCTGATGATGTGCGTAAATTTATCGTAACTGGATTGTGGCCAATGGAAATTACTTTGAAGGTATTTACTCTATTTATTTAATCATGTAGCCCAAGTTTAATGCGAAAAATGGAAATGTTTGTCGTAATATCGTAGAAAAGAATCATCTCGTAACTTACGCTGACAAGGTCTGCTGATAACATAGTCATTCTAACATCCAATTAATGTCAACTACAAGATATGATATAATAACGTAATGAAGAAGGCGGCAAAGTGTGGCTCAAGATGAGGATGAGAAAGAGCAAAAGTTGGGTAGAATACGTTTTCTCAACAATTAAAGCTATCACAGGGGCCCATACGAAAACAACATAATTGGGTGTGAACTTTGGCAGTTATTGAAGGCGCACCACGATCAAAGTGATTAAATCACGAGTTAGATGAGAGCAGGGTCGAGTGAAAAAGTTCGAAATCAGAAAGCAATATGAGGACCGTTACGTGTATATGTTACCTGACGTGGGTCAGGAACGTGGCATTTTACCGACAACACGGGACACATTCTTATTCGACAAGTTTAATCGGATATGGAAAACCATTCCATGACGTGTGTGCTCGACAGATGAGTCTGCATGTACCTCATGCAGGAGCGCGTGTTGGGAAGTATCGGTGATGTGAGTGATGGATCGCACTTCACTGCGCCATTACGCTCGGCAGCCACACGTCCCTTGTGTAGTTGTAGCACGGTTCAGTGCAGCAGGCATCTCGTGTCCCTGTTCATTCCCCAACACGATGTCCCGGCCACCGCTAGGTGAAGGTTTCCCCAAACCATGGCCATCACTCACAGGCCCTGTGCTGGCACTATCCGCCTCAATTCCGACACGCGAACCGATCCCCTTTGTCCCATTTCTGCGGCGGTGGTCATCGTCTCGGGCGCGTTGCCTCCTTGGGCTGCCATTCTATCACCGGTCTTTCCCATCGATCGTCATCGATTTCTAGTGACGCCTCCTGTAAGAGGCCACCATCGAGAGCTCTCGGGAGAACCGGCCAGGGTGTCTCTGTCTCTGTATCTCGTGAGAACCAGCGAGGGTGTCTCCGTGTCTCTGTGCCTCGGGAGAACCGGCAAAGGTGTCTCTGTGTCTCTGTCTCTGTGTCTCTGTGCTCTCGGGAGAGCCGGCCAGGGTGTCTCTGTGTATCTGTGCTCTCGGGGGAACCGGCCAAGGTGTCTCTGTGTCTCTGTCTCTGTGCCTCTGTGCTCTCGGGAGAACCGGCCAGGGTGTCTCTGTGTCTCTGTCTCTGTGCCTCTGTGCTCTCGGGAGAACCGGCAAATATGTCTCTGTGTCTCTGTCTCTGTGTCTATGTGCTCTCGGGAGAGCCGGCCAGGGTGTCTCTGTGTCTCTGTGCTCTTGGGAGAACCGGCCAAGGTGTCTCTGTGTCTCTGTCTCTGTGCCTCTGTGCTCTCGGGAGAACCGGCCAAGGTGTCTCTGTGTCTCTGTGCTCTCGGGAGAACCGGCGAAGGTGTCTCTGTCTCTGTGCCTCTGTGCTCTCGGGAGAACCGGCGAAGGTGACTGCGAGAGACGGAGCGGGGGGACAACGCCGGGGCGTGCACGTGCGTGGGAGAGCCTCGGTTGCACGCTCTGCGGGTGTGCTGCACGTGTGTGTGTGCTGCACGTGTGTGTGTGATGTGTGTGTGCTACACGTGTGTGTGATGGGTGTGTACTGCACGTGTGTGCGATGTGTGTGTGTGCTGCACATGTATACCTCCTCGCGGTGCCGGACGGGCAACTCTGTCGTGGACAGTGCTGTGGGGGGAGATCCAATTTTGATTGGCTCCTCCCCTCATGGCATATGTGTCCACCACAGGGGCTAAACGGGGGCTCTGGACGGGTGCGAGGGGCTGGTAACCCCTCCACCTTCAATTAATTACCGCGAAACCACGAATTAAACTGAAATATGTAACCAATAAGCTTGTGCCGGTGGCCCCGGGGGGCCAGGCGTCTATGACGTGTCCTGGCCAAACCCCAATTGGCGGAGCCAGGAGATTGAATACCTACCCTCGGGGCTACTCTAGAAACAACGAAAAGCCACTACGGGTGGCCACGTGGAATGTTCGAACGCTCACTGCAGAGGAGAGGCTGCCACTCCTCTGTCGGGAGCTGGACCGGTACCGCCTGGATCTATGCGGCATTCAGGAGGTCCGGTGGACCGGCTCTGGCTCCTGCCACCATGAGGGGTGGACAGTCCTCTACTCGGGGCAGCAGACTGCCAAACAACAGGGTGTGGGTCTTCTTTTGAACAAAAGAATGAAGGGGGCGTGGGAGCGTGGCGGTGAGGTGTGGGAAGCTGTAAGCCCCAGGCTACTTTGGGCTCGCCTTCCCATCAACCGGAGGCGAGGAATGGTGGTCGTGGTTACTTATGCCCCCACCGAAGATGAACATCCGTGGAGGGATGCAGGCAAAGCCGATGAGTCAGATGCCTTCTATGACCTCCTGTCACAGGTGCTGGCTAAAGTGGCCCCTCGGGATAGAGTCGTCATGTTGGGTGACTTCAATGCCCGAGTTGGTCATGATACTGGCACCTGGTCTGGAGTGATTGGAGGGCATGGGCCAGATCAGCTCAATAACAACGGTAGGAGGCTGCTAGATTTTTGTGCAGCCCATGGGCTTGTAATTACCAACACGCTGTTCCGGCATCGGCGCATCCACACAACATCATGGATGCATGCCGGGTCCAAGCAAGAACATCTGTTGGACTACATAGTGACGGACCAGCGAATGCGAGCCCATGTCCTTGACACCAGGACCTACCGTGGAGCTGATCTGCCCTCTGACCATCGACTAGTCATCTGTAAGATGCGCCTGCCATTCTTCCACTCCGGTGGTGGGTGTACACCCAGGACCCCATTCCAACATAAAGTGGCCTGGTCTCAGTTATCTGATGAAAGTTGCAAGCGAGAATTTCATCATCGCTTGCGGCTGGGATTGGCATCGTCCCCGACTCCTCCTGATGTCGAGGGTAAATGGGCGAGGTTTAGGACTGTGACTCATGCAGCTGCAATGGCTGCTTTGGGTACGCGGTCCAGATCTCCCCAGAGACCCTGGCTGACAGAGGAGGTGTTCAGGATGGTTGAGAAAAAGCGACAGGCCCACTGTCATCGGCTACAGAATCCCACGTCAGAAAATGAGGAGGCTTACCGCAGCCTTCGCTCGGAGGTTCGGAGAG